ATTCATGTTTCTTTCATAAAACGCAAGTTCCACCCAGAAAGCTTCTTCCCCAGAAATGTTACTTTGTTTCACAACTCCCGAGAGAATGCTTCCCTGACAGCTACAACGTTGCTCTTTTTAAATCCAGGGCCAGCTGATATCTATCCTACTCATCCTCATAATATTCTCTTACTTCCTCATTCCTTAGAATTTGACTCAGTGAAGCTCTGCCTTGAATGGCATTTGGGCCTTGTATTGGGTGAGCAATCAATAAACGAAAAAAACGATATATATATATATATATATATATATATATATATATATATATATATATATATTAGCATTTTAACATCAAATAAACTGAAAAACTACAGACAACAAGTTTTTCTTCAAGGATCAAAACTCACACTATGGATGAACAGGATTTTAATGCATATATTATGTTTTCTAGCGATGGATGTCGCCAATAATCGCATTGATACTTCTGATTAATTCTATGTGCGATTATTCTTTGTATGTAAATCATATGCTGCCTAATGTTTTATGTTTATTAAAAAATTATCGATCTGCAGTACATAAAAAATTCCTATAAAAAAATTACTACTATGACATTACACTATATTATTGAACTATATACTTAGTTCATGACATAAAACTGAATACACTTGTAAAAATAGAATACGTGGATTTAACACATCACAAGAAATATTTAAATAAAATTCTCACTTAAAAATTTTGAAAAACTTAGCGTTGCGTCTTTGCACGTTCCGATATCTTATAACCGTCAATAATAGCAGATATTCAAAAAAACATCTTTCGGTCGACATACAGGTATATCGTCTCAAGTTTTTGATTTTATAAGGAAAAAAAACACATGCCTGATGATGGACGGAAGACTGTCCGTAAGTACTAGCATTTTAACATCAAATAAACTGAAAAATACAGACAACAAGTTTTTTCTTCAAGGATCAAAACTCACACTATGGATGAACAGGATTTTAATGCATATATTATGTTTTCTAGCGATGGATGTCGCCAATAATCGCATTGATACTTCTGATTAATTCTATGTGCGATTATTCTTTGTATGTAAATCATATGCTGCCTAATGTTTTATGTTTATTAAAAATTATCGATCTGCAGTACATAAAAAAAATTCCTATAAAAAATTACTACTATGACATTACACTATATTATTGAACTATATACTTAGTTCATGACATAAAAACTGAATACACTTGTAAAATAGAATACGTGGATTTAACACATCACAAGAAATATTTAAATAAAATTCTCACTTAAAAAATTTTGAAAAACTTAGCGTTGCGTCTTTGCACGTTCCGATATCTTATAACCGTCAATAATAGCAGATATTCCAAAAACATCTTTCGGTCGACATACAGGTATATCGTCTCAAGTTTTTGATTTTATAAGGAAAAAAACACATGCCTGATGATGGATGGAAGACTGTCCGTAAGTACTAGCATTTTAACATCAAATAAACTGAAAAAACTACAGACAACAAGTTTTTCTTCAAGGATCAAAACTCGCACTATGGATGAACAGGATTTTAATGCATATATTATGTTTTCTAGCGATGGATGTCGCCAATAATCGCATTGATACTTCTGAAAAATGATTAATTCTATGTGTGATTATTCTTTTGTATATATATATATATATATATATATATATATATATATAGTAATAATAATAATAATAATAATATAAATATGTAATTATACTCGTCTGGAAAAACCTTACGTGTTTTGACTTGTAAATGAACAAACCAATACCCTAGGAAAAATGAGGGATAAAAAAAGAAAGAACTAAGAAGATGTAATTCAGGCGAAAACAATCGTCCAGAATCCAAGTTCAGAGTCCAAAGAAAAAAAAACTCCAACACGAGTAAAGCAAAAGTAACTAAGTAAAGGGCTAAATACACTAAGTAGAGTAAATCTAACTATGAACCAAAAGAGCCAGGCAAACCTACCTAGGTTTCACCCACGCGGATCGTCAGGGTACGCCGGCATAGTTACTTTCATCTTCATTTTTCTAAGATGAAGCGTTGTTTAACTGTTTGATTATTCGTTTTATACGAAAATATTGCGCACCAGACTTCTTTCTCAGTGATGTCTATTCTGGGGTCATAGGAAGTTTCGGGCCCCCATCACATCAGGCTTTCTTTCCATGGGCCCAGCCGATCATTTCACGACTCGAATTCAAGCATAGCTTCAAAATAATTGCAGGAATTGTAAACAATCTTTGTGCCTATGCAAATGAGATCTTTTATTCAATTGTTGGAATTCTGACCAATCGGGATTTGTTTAATTTTTTTTTCTTCTTCTGATTATTTGTGTTTTTGGCCAATCAAAGCGGCCAATTCCGTTTTGTCCTTAATCGTTATTCGAAGTACGCATTCAGAACGGTGGTTATTGTTTTTAGCCAATGAGAAGCGTGCTCCAATCTTTCATCTTCATGTTTTATTAGTTAAAGCATTGTCAAGTATTATTATTAATTTGTGAATATTATTTATATTAATGGTCATTAATATTAATTAGTTTCATCTTCATTTTTGTTAGATGAAGCATTGTCAACTATAATTATGAAGTCTTGCCTATTTTTTACTTTCATTTTGAATTTTTATTAGATGATGAATTTTCAAACATTATTATTAATTTTTAGCTATTATTTACCATAATCTTCATTTTTTATTAGTTGAAACATGGCTTAGAATCAGAAATATATATTTAGAGATTCTGCATAAAACCGAAAGAATCTGCAATGTTATTGGCTCTGACTTAGCATCTTGGCATCACTCACTTTCTCACCGCCATAACATAAATTTCTTGTGTTTTTTCTATAAATATTTTCATGATAATTGTTCTGATGAAATTTCTTCTTTGGTAACAAGACTTTATGATTTTAAGCGCATTACTATATTTCCGGTAGGTATCACCATTTTACAGTTGAGATAGCTAGATGTAAGTTCTATGCTAACAGTTTCTTCCTTCACACTTCTCTCGTGTGGAACTCTCTTCCAGCTTCTTCCTTCCCAGTCAACTTTGATCTTTACAAATTTAAATGCAATGTCAATCGTTATCTACCGTCTTCTTAATTCCTGTTCATTTATTATTATCTACCCGTAATAGTATTTTTCTCGTATTCTCTCACACCCAGTAACTCTTTGCGTCTTAGTGGCTTTATTGCCTTACTTGGGGTGAAATTGTAAAAAATAAATACATAATGGTTAAGCTCTTAGGGGATTCGAACACACTTCCCTTCATGATATTTCTAAATCTAAATTACGAACGCACTTCTTTTTTTCTTTTTATGTGCCATGTCTTTTCAGGATGTAGGCGATCATGGCTCTCCACTTCCTCCTATCTCTTGCAGTTCTCAATAAGTCTCGTCCCTCTGCTACCTCGCCCAGACCATGTTCTGTCAGCCATATGCTTAAGCCCGCCAGGTATGTCACGCGTTGTTTTCCCTTGTCTCTCTTTCCCTCTATCCAGCCCGTGAGTATCAGATTCTCCAGGTCATCCTTCCTCATTATATGTGTCGGTAACTTCAGCTGCTTCTTCCTGATGTTAAGTATAAGCTTCCTTCCTGTTTGCAATCTTTTTAAGACCTCATCGTTGCTTACACACTCGGTGAATGATATACTTAGCATCCTCTCTAAGACGTCATTGTTGCTCACATACTCGGTCCATGATATCCTCAGCATCCTTCTGTTGAATCACATCTCCGTCGCCTCGGGTCTCTACGCACAATGGACCACAAATGATGAATGCTTACCTTAAATCTATCACTGTACTCTGTCGGCAGGATATTCCTTTTAAAATTAAGATAAAAATAAAAACGGTGTATAGTTTTTAAATTTTATTTTACATTTTTTTATAAAGGCCATTATCTTCCTTTGGTTGAGATGTCACATTGATCACGCGACGAACCGCTTAGTGACATCAGTCCATACAGTGAAGAAAGAGGCAGTCATTTTTTAGTTCGTTTACAGCAACCACCACGTGAGGTTGCTTTCTTTTAACCTGGGCTCGCAGTCCTCAATTTTTAAAATCTCGTTGTTTCACGGAAGGTCTTTCACAGAGACTCTTACGCCACCAAGACATATGAAGGGAGCTGGTCAGATGCACAGCTGTGATGCCGCCCTACGAGCACACCTGGCTATGGAATTGATGATGATGATGATGATAATTTCTAAGAGAATTAGAAGACCTACCAGGACTGATTATCAGTAGATGTAAACTTAACAACATACGCTCCGCCGATGAGAATGTGCTGATGGTAGAGTTTGAAGAAAAACTGAAAGAACTATTAGAAACTAACAGCCCAAGATGTGAGTTGCATATCGGGGACGTCGGAATGAAATAAGTGCAGAAATTCAACTATCTGGGCTGTGCAATAACAACTAATGGAAAGTGAGACACAGAAATCCGAAATTATATATAAATAGCGAAAGTTTCTTTTCAAAAACTCAGCAACCAAGCTATTCTGGGATGGAAAAGTAAGATTAGAGATGCAGAGAACAGTACTGAATTGATATCTACCTTCCTATATCATATCACACAAAGAAAGAATTGACGTAAATTTGTTGTAGTTTTAGTAACAAATGTTGAGAATACCATGAACAGAACATGCGACAAATATGGAAGTTTTAAGGAGTAGAGGAAATACAAGACAGCTGAAATCTTAATGACACGTTATGGATACTAAAAAAAAGTTTAGAGAATTTAACACTTGAAGGATAAGTCGAAGGCAAGAGCAGCGAAAGACAAACGCGGGAAATGTACTTGATAAACTTGTGAAAATGAATAGCTGAACAAGGAACAAAAAAAAAAGAAAGAGTGGGTAATGAATGTGAATTGATTGATTTGCTTTCTAAGACTTTTAGATAGATATGAACAGCCTGTGATAGAAAGATAGACGAATAACAGACTGAGATAGAGAGATAAAAACGTGAAGAACAGAATTTAATAGATAGATAAATAGATGAAGAACAAAATTTAATAGATAGATAGATAGATAGATAGATAGATAGATAGATAGATAGATAGATACAAACAACCTGTGATAGATACGAACAGACTGAGATAGATAGATAGATAGATAGATAGATAGATAGAGAGAGAGAGAGAGAGAGAGAGAGATGAAGAAAAAACTTTAATAGATAGATACGAACAGCCTGTGATAGATAGATAGATAGATAGATAGATAGATAGATAGATAGATAGATAGATATAGATGAAGAACAGACCTTAATAGATAGATAGCTTGTGATAGATAGATATGAATAAACATAGATAGATAGATAGATAGATAGATAGATAGATAGATAGATAAAAAGATTGAAAGATAGATAGAGATAGAGAGATAGATAAAGAACAAACTTTGATAGATAGACACGAACAGCCTTTGATAGATAGATAGATAGATAGATAGATAGATATGAATAGACTTAGATAGATAGATAGATAGATAGATAGATAGATAGATAGATGAAGAACAGACTTTAATAGATAGATACGAACAGCCTGTAATAGATAGGTACGAATAGCTTGTGATACATACGTACAGAATGAGATAGATAGATAGATAGACAGACAGATAGAAGAACAGACGGAGATAGATAAACATTGCGAGATATATTGATAATGAACAAACTGAGATAGATAGATAGATAGATAGATAGATATGAACAGTTTGTCATAGATTTGTTTTTTTAGGTTGTTCATTTTCTACTGTGTATAAACCCTTTCCAGGTTATTTAAAGCCAGAAAATATTTTTAGATTTTAAGAATTTTTTGTGATAATAATGATTTAGTGAAACAGTTCTTACTAATTAACCCATAGCTGGTGGGAGAAGAGCTGGTTTCATTCCTTTCCCAAGGTTAGTTGCGTGTAAGGGAATACAACGAATCCAGCTGGGATTGAAACTCATCTCTTCGATTAACAATTCCGAGCCATTAGCCATTACACCACCCACACTATCAAGCTTATATCACCTGGTATTCCCAAGCAGTCACCCATCTAGGTACTGGATGTTGCTTAACTTCGGTGATCGAACGGGAACCGGTGTTTCAAATGAATTAAAAATTATAGCTGAGAGCAATAAAGGACGGGAAGCTGTGGAGAGTGATGACTTTTCTTCCAAATATTCTCTAAGATTTTTTCTTACTCTTAGGAACATTTATTACCATTTTATTCAGCAGACTTTGGCAACCAATAAAAGACATGTTAGAAACACGCGACAAAAGGTCATTGTAAGTTCTGTTATGAGAAACATAGAAAGGATTATTTTTTTAAGTAAAATTATTCTTGTTCTTGTAAATAATTCATTTAAACAATATTCGGTTTTAAATGTCGTGATGAATTGAAACTTGGAGTTAAAGATCCGTCCTTTGTTAGCGTGAGCGTGTATTTTATGAGTGAAATTTGAAAACGTGACAAGGCGGTCGAAAATGACAAAAGAGGAAATATGAACAACACCGACACCAAATCAATCAGTTTATACTCGGGCTTGTTTGCCGTTTACATAGACCTATTTGGAAGGAAAGTTCTAGAGGTTTCTAAATAAATTTAATCTTCTGTAGACCGTGAGAACTTTCCTTCCTAACCAGATTGAAATCAATACGACTATGACTTATCTTAGAACTGCCAATATTATCACAACCACTGTCGCCATCATATATTCCTTATTATTATTATTAATATTATTATTATTATTATTTTGATTTCCTTTGATTTCTGGCGTTTACACATTTCTTTCCGGGTCCCGCCCAGGTCCCTAAGGTTAGAAATGGCGTCATGACACTTTCCACTGACAAAAAATAAAAAATAAAAATAAAAAATTACATAGACGTAAAGTGTGGGCTGTACTTGTCAGAACAATTTTTTGTATCTCTTTGAGGCATGGACTTCCACGAATCCCTCCGATTAGTCTACTGCAATCTTTTCCAACCAGTCCTAGGGCTCCAACTACAACAGGGATTGTTGATGTTACCATATGCTACATTTTCGAGATTTCTATTTCAAGGTCCTTGTATTCTGACAGCTTTTTGAATATCTTCAAAGATACATTGCAGTCAGCAGGGACTGCCGTATCAATAAGGAGAACTTATTATTATTATTATTATTATTTCCTTTGATTTCTCGTGTATACTCATTTCTTTCCGTGTCCCAATCAGAGACCTAAGGTCAAATATTGCATCATGACATTTTCCACTGAACATTTTTTGGCCTCAACCCCAAGAAGACCAAGATCACATACATTTTACATAAGTAAAATCCTTCGTAAGGAGTACATTTTTTTCTGTATTTCTTTGAGGCATGGACTTCCAGGAATCCCATCAATGCGTCTATTGGAATCTTTTCCAATTAATCCGAGGACTCCAACTATAACTGGAATTGTTGATGTCCACATATGCCACATTGTTGAGATTTCGATTTCAAGGTTCTTGCATTTTGACAGTTTTTGAAGAACTTTATAGATACATTACAGTCTGCAGGAACTGCCATGTCAATAAGGAGGCACTGTTTTGTTTTTGCGGTCTCTGATCACGATGTCTAGTCGAATAACTTACAGGTCCGATCTGTGTAACCGGATCTGGGTGGTGTTCATACCAAATTCCTGCAGTTTCTTTTCCATAAAAGTTTGCAGGTATTCAAATTCAGATATTGTCCCAACCTGTCATGCCGGCCTTTATATTCAGTGGGTGCCAATACCGTGCAATCTGATACAATGCGGTCAATTATTCCCGGATATTTATCCCAGAATCTGTATGTTGGTCTAATACAATTATTATTATTATTATTATTATTATTATTATTCATGTATTTTCATATTCAAATCAGATGTCGATTGGTCATCGCTGAGTAGGGAATGGCGGAAAGTAACTTAAAATCTCCAGCACCTTACCCAGTATCCTCACAAACAAGATATAAACAGATATACATCTGTACCTACTATGGTGGATATGATTCTAATCTTCACATCATAAATTCGCAAATGCCGCACAAGGTCCCGAAATTTCTCAGTCTTTTTCAGGTTCTATTTGTGGTTCGCTCGTTTAAAAACGTGTACGATCTGACAGGTTTCATTTCCTTATTTCCGATTTATCAGAAACGGCCTGCTTGTTCGGATGAGGCGGTCGTTATAGATGTGAAATCGGAATTTTTGTTTTTCAACACTTCTTGCTTATGACGATACCATCTGTATTCATTTTCCGACCTAGAATATTTGCACAGTTTCCCTATATATGACTGTTGCCACCTTGTCGTATGTACTATTTTTCATTTGGAGCCAGCTTGCTACATGCATTGATTAACGTTTCATCTTTTTCTCCAAGGATGTAGATTGTACTGGTGTACGTTTTGGGGATGTAATCGTAAAGAATTCTATTTCTTTATTCAAGTTTCCTCTGCGTAGCCATATCCGTCATTTTTGTAGGCGTTATTTACTATCGGGTTGGAGTTAAAGTTTTGTCCGATTTTATATTACATATTACAAATAAAGATAGACTGAATCTTTACAGGTTGAAGGGAAAACCTGTATACCAGACCCTGTGAAAGGCTTTCGAAATGTCCGATACTACACCCCGGGCTTCACTGTTGTGTGTGTGTGTGTGTGTGTGTGATCAATAAAAACATTATTTAGTCTGAAGTTCTTTTGAAGATATTTCTTTCCCATTTTTTTACCAACCACATATAAATATGGAGAGATTACCGTAAGGATCCACACTTCCAACAGTTTAAATAGCTCAAGGTCTGGTCACTCCTCCTCCCCAAATACTAAGTATGATTGAGAGAGATATTAAACTCTCCCTAAACTCTACCATGTCTCTCCAACTACCCCTCTTACACTCTCTGTTAAATTACAAAAACTTACACTACCCATCAATTTTCATTTCATTTTTTGTTTCATTTTTGGAAGTGCTATCTGATGATCCGGAGTCCTTTAAAAGGGCTCTGGTGAAATAAATTATTATAATGGAACCTTAAAGTGGTCTGTTTTTCTTTGAAAAATTATAATTATATATATATATATATATATATATATATATATATATATAAACGATAAACGATTAATTAAAAACAGAGTATTGACTTAAGTAAACTATATCCATAGAAATAATGTATGAACATAAAATATAATAAATAATTGTCGGAGCTGGTCCATTTTATAACATGTTGTCATTGTTTACGTTAAGATAACTTTCGTGAGCAGAAATGATCGACTGACAAAAATCGTCGCATATGTGTGTTTATAAGCAGTAATATATATATATATATATATATATATATATATATATATATATATATATATATATGAACCAACATTCAATATCAACTATGAACATGGACACAATATCTTGACCGTGTTTTGAAAATGAAACATAATATAAATACATACAATCTATTTCTAGCTAACACTTAATACATTTACACTTTTAAAATGGCTAAATGTACAGCCGAAAGCGCTCAGGAAAAAAAAACAACATTTGGATTATTTTTGTATAATTTATCTACTGAAAAGAAAAAATTATAAAATTACATGAAAAATTATATAAAAAACCCTAATCAAAAGCACCTTGTCTGTCATATTTAATGATGCTTGCATGAAAGGATTACTGCCTAAATTCGCAATATATATATATATATATATATATATATATATATATATATATATATATGTAGGAGGGAACATAATACAATGAATATCGATTGTAATATACATCGAAAGAAAGACTGAAAATGAAGGAACGCCCTATATATCAAACAACCATCAACCTTTCATTATTTAATACGGAAAATGGAGTGTTTTAAAGATAAAAAATAAAAAGATGCTGACACGAATTCCACTCGAGCTCGGCACTTGAGAACTTGAAATGAACGCTAATTTTTTTCAAAACATGAGGAAAAATAACAACGCCAGAGACAAAACACCCTTGAAAATGGCTATAGAAGTAGACGAAAGCGCTTGAGAGAATAAAAAATTATAAACAAG